TTTTTGCCATTTTATAATTATTAATAATATAAGATTTTTAATAAAATATAATAGATGGCGCCACACAGTTTTGATTGTTGCCGGGAGAGGTAAGCAACTCTTTGCTGTATTTTTCTTTAAAGTTTGGAACCGTATTTTCTCCCTCTGATCAATAAAAGTTCATACCAAGATTTATTCACACCCAGTATTAATGAAATCTGTGAGGACCATGTTATAACTTTTTCATGTAGGGGAAGGTGGGGCAAGATGAGAACGTTAAGATTTGAAAAGTCATAAGATGGCAACCACTTTGATGAGAACAATAATTTTTTTATTCTCAGCAACTACATGTGGTGATATAAAATACAAAATTTAATTTTTGAAAAACGTTTTTAAAAAGAAGAAAATTTAATATTTTAAAATTATATGTAAATGCATCATCATGCCCCATCCGTGGGGTAAGATGGAGATATTATTTTTATATACAAGAAGGACAAATTAAAATGGTTAAACTGTCGTTTTCTTCAATATTGACACAAGAACAGTGTGCCCATTTTTCACAATGGCTACATTTAGACCAACTCTCTGTAGATAGAGTATAACCCTCCAAAATAGAGGCATTCTGTGTCATTTGTCTTTTGTTTCTTGTTAGGCCTACCCTTGCTGAAGGGGTCTGTTTGTCGTCTCTGCAGCAATAAAGTCTGCCTTCAAAAATACTTCTGGATTCATAGGCCGTATTCATGGTCATTGTACGTTGGGGGCTAGACGGGTACCCCATCTTGCCTCCAATGTACACTTTTCATACTGACTGCAAACACAGGTAAACTTCATTTCAGAAGTAAGCAATTAGTCTTAAAAGTTATTTCGAATACCATAATATTTTCATGTAAAAGGTAATTAAAAGTTCACAATGATACTTACTTTGTAGAAACTTTGTAGCAGGCGTAAAATTAGATGAAGTATTGCTAAAATATGGAAAACTTGTCTTGCTTCCAAATAAAGAGAGCGATTTGGACGTTCTCTTGTCCCATGATCCCTTTTGAGGTTGACATTTAGTTCCCCAAATAACAGATAGATAAAATCACATTAACCACAAAAAAACATACGTCCCCGTCTTATCCATGACCCCATCTTGCACCATCTTTCCCTACACATATATGAACGGTATGGATATTTGGTCTAATTGGATTATACTGTTCCGAAAATGCATGAGAAACGAGTCATAAACGAGCATCATTCCACCCGAATCAATTCTCATAAGCCAGGAAGATTTCGATCACGGTGGTATGGAACTCTTGTTTAATCATTCAGAGTAAAAGTCATTTAATGCTACAGATATAATTTGAATCTGTTATTTTAATTTTTTTTATGAATATCGTGTATATATGTATATACACATACGCGCACACATACGCCTTAAAATTAGCTTGAGTCATTAATAGAAACGAATTCAGTATACTTGAATTTATATTCAGTTGAATCGTATAGCTATTTAGATTTTAAATGAATAAATAATTTTTATTTTTATTCGTAAAACATTTGGGCTAATTTTTCTTATGTAGAAAATGAGGGATTTTATGTAGAAAATGAGGGATTTTTTAATTGTAGAATTCTATGATATAAAGAAAATATTAACACAATTTTTGATATAAAATGCAGTAAAATTATTATTATATGGGAAAATTTTAATAATAATATTTCAGAATAAATTTTTTTCAATCAAAATTCAATTTGCAAATGTAAAATTGCAATTGTTTAAATGAATATACGACATCTCTCTCATAAAATTAACCTAGTATTGGAATATTGCCTATATATATATTGATATATATAGGCAATATTTATTACTATAATTCAGTACTATTTATAAATTTGTAT